GAGAAAGCTAAGAGAAGACATAATAGCAGTCTTCCAATACAGGAAGGGATGACACAGGGAAGAGGGTGTAGATTTATTTTCTAGAACACTCAAAGGTAAGACAAGAACCGGTAGGTGAAAGCTTTACAGTGAGAGATCCAAAGTTAAAATAAGGAGGACTTTCCTGACTGTGAGAGCTATTAAGCAGTGGAACAGCCTGCCTACTCGAGTTGTAGATGCTCCATCACTGGAGGTTTTCAAGAAAAGATTGGACATCCTGGGATGGTCTGAGGATTCCTGCACTGGGCAGGGGAGCAGATTCGATGATTCTAGTCCATGCTTGCCCTGATTCAGGGGAAGGAATTGGCTTTATCATGTTCATGTTTTTGGAGCTTAAAGACTCTTCATCTCCTGCCAGCCTTAATCCCCAGCCAAGTTTAGACAGATGTCCCTCAAAATAGAGTTTTATGAAAACAGAATTATGCTTTCTAGTCCTACCCTATTTTAATCCTTTAACTCCTTTTTTCAATAGTAATTTTATTAAAAATTATAATTGCAACAATAAAAACTAATACAAACAAAAAAAAAAACCCAAAAGAATAAAAAGGAAGAATAGAAGGTGCAGATAAAAATAGAAAGAAAAATAGAAAAGAGAGAAAAAATAAGAATATGGTAAAAAAAAGAAAAGAACTACATAAAGAAATTGCTTCCCTCTTCATCATAAGTATAAACAATTTTATTAACTTATTGCCTTCTCTTAAAATACAACAAGTGATCTCTTCTTCCCATATCCCATCTCTTATCTATAAACAAATCTATAAAAACTTGTCATTTCAGTCCTGCTGTCAGCAAAAGTCCATTATAGGTTACCAGAGATAGCAACATATCTATTTTAACTTCAATCAAATAAACCAACTTTATATTCCTTCCTTTTACTTTTAACAATCATGATCTTTAGCCCCTTCAAATAATGTCCTAGAATTTGATTTCTTTTCACTTTTTTTTTTTTTGTCCCTTCTTACAAAATTCTTCAAAGCTTTAACAAGCCTCTTTTGTAATCTAATATAAGAAAATTATCCAGGTCATTCTCTTGATTTGTTATTTGTATATCCCTTTTAATTATTAAGACATCAGCTGGTTTCTTTTGCATGTCCAGTGTAGCATCTTATTCCATGCCATTCTTGTAGCCTGTCATTTTTAAATCCACTTTCAGATCAGTCTCATTTTGTTAGATAAAACTTGTTCCTCTTCCATAACATATTTTAAATCCAGTCTATCTATAGAGGCAGATACTCTTTAAATTAACTTCTGGGTCCGTTGTTCAAAAATATCCTTCAATATGTCCAATGTTAAAATATTTTGCTTTATTCTGTATTATTAAGTCAAATTTAAGTGTTCCTCTCCTTTAATTGTAATCTTTAATTCCTTCTAGTTTCCTCTAGTGTCCAACCTTCAAAGTTCCATCCTATCCTTTTTTTTAAAGAATTCAAAACAAAAGCATTCTCCCATGGGAAGGATTCTTTATAATTAATTCCAAAATCTTATTTCCAATTTATCTGGACCCTTAGTCCATTTGTAACTTTCTAAAATCATTTTTTTAATCACCCTTTTGCTGTTTATTTGAGAAAAAAAAAGTCCTTAAACTTGTGTTTAAAACTTCTTTTGCTAAGGATTGAAGGAAACTCACCTGGTGCTGTAAAACGTGTCAATCCAAAGGTTACTAATAGCTGAAAAGCAGTTAACAAGCAATTTCTAAAAGTGATTAGAAAAGGAAGTATGCAAACCCTTTATCTTTTTAAAGGTACCAACTGTGGTTTGAGCAAGATGGCTACTCTCTTGTCTCCCAGAGCTCTAAACCTGACAGAGACTGCTGTCTTGAGATCTCCCCATGGGGAACAACTGTCTGGAGCACTTGTGGCTGATCACAGGTCCTTTCCTTGTCTACTCACCGGCTCTTCATTCTGCCATGGTCATCGGCTCTGCTTTATGCAGAGCCATCTTCAGTTTGCCATTTCTTCCCCAGGACTCCCTTAATCCTTTAACTTCTATGCTGCTTATGAAGGGTAGATAAAACCAAGCATTTGGGATTCTTAAAAAAGAATTTGTTCATTTTAAAGATGAACTGGCAAATGTCAATATTACTTAATGCCATGTTTTGGGTGGCCAGGTCCCTCCTGGGAAAGAATATTCTCAGCATCAGTCAGACAAGGTCACTCAACTTCTTTCACTGGCTGGGCAGGTCCTTTGAAAGTTCCTGAGACATGTTTGACCTTACTTATCTAGGAAGAGTTTGAGCTGGTCAGGAAGTAGATAGGGTCCTTGCATGGGTCCTGGACCCATGCCCCTCTTGCCTAGTGAAGGCCTTTCACGAGGTCTCATGTTGTTGGGTTCAAGGGGAGGGTGTTAACGCCTTTTTCTGGGGGGGGGGGGTCCACCTGCCTTGAATGGCTCCCTTCTCAAGAGGCCATCCTTGGACCTGATTGTGTCAGGGAGAAGTCTAGCCTGCAATGGGGAGTGCTTCAGTGCTTGGGTTTCTTACTGCTCCTCTTTAGCATCTACTAGGTGAGGTCATTCAATGGCAAGGGGTGTGATATCATCAATATGCTGATATACAGTTCGACTCCTGGCTGGGCAGATGACATCATTTTGCTGCTGACTCAGTGCCTGGAGACTGAGAGTCTGGATGGGGCGGAACCAGCTCTGACTCAACCCTAGCAAGATGGAATGGATTTGGGTCTTTGGCCCCCCTGGGTCCAGTGAGGTATTATCGTTAACTCTTGAAGGGGTAATACACCCCTAGACAGAGTTTGTGTGCAATTTGGGGGACTCGTGGCTTCTGTTGAAGGCGAAGGTGGCTAGGGGGGCCTTTGGACAGATACAACTTGTGCACCAGTTGCACCTGTTCCTGGAACAGGAGACCTTGTTCATGGTCATTCATGCTTTGATCACTTCCTGGTTGGACTATGTGCCCCATGGGGCTGGCTTTGAAGACCATCCAGAAGTTACAACTGGTCCAGAATGTGGCAGCTTGCACAGAGCTTAGCACACTTTGGTTTGCCCATGCTACCCCATTAGTCCATGAGCTGCACTGGCTCCTAGTCTATTTTTGGAAGCAATTCAAAGTGTTGGTTATTATCTTAAAGCCCTACATGGCACAGGGCCAGGTTATTTGCAGGACTGCCTGTCCTGAGGATATCTGCCTGCTCCACTAGGCTAGGTAGGGTGGGCACATTCCAGGTTCCATCTTTTAAGTGTTGCCATCTGGTGGGACCTAGGAATCCGATGGATGGATGGATGGATGGATGGATGGATGGATGGATGGATGGATGGATGGATGGATGGATTGGCAATGGTAGATCAGGTGCCTGGTTGTTTTGGTTTTCTTGTTTTTGTTTTTATTATTGTTGTGAGCCACCCAGGGTTGCGTTTTACAAGATGGGCAGCCATATAAATCAAAGAAATAAATAAAGTATGCTATCTAGTTTAAACACTGAATAGTTTGGAGTCCGTGGATTTATTGAGTCTTAGGAAGAACTTCTACTATCAAACTGTGGAACTTTTTTTTTTTTCCCCAAGGATAATTTAGAAGTGAGGATCCAGGCAATTGCTTAGATGGCTAATCTCAGGGTTAGTTGGTTATTTATTGAACCATCCAGTCAGCAACTAAAGCAAATAGCACAAAAAGTCCATGATGTCTTCCATGCAAGTGATTTATAGCATCATCCAACCATTGCTTTGGCAATACAAACCCTGCTCATATTAGTGTTCTGTCACCAGAGTAATGTTGCCAGATGAAGTTTATATCACTGGTGTAGATTGATTCCATATGTGAAGTAGACTTGTGATAGGAATAAATGGGTTATAATGTAATATAAATTACTGTAGGTGTTCTGAAGTTGAACAAATCGGTAGGTACGTATGTAGGTGTGGGTGTTGGTTAGTTTGTTTATTTTGGTATGGTTTATTCTTTGCTTAGAGTGTGTGCAAATGTGCAATATGTGTGTAGATTATATGTGTATCTTTTTTTTTTTGTTCTTTGTTTTGCTTTGTCTACAACTAGGTGCTGTATTTGTGTGTTTCTATGAGAAACGTTTTGATTGTATTGTCAGTTTTAAAAGATAACAATTTTCTTGAGTTTATCTCAGTTCTACTAACTACATGAATACATCCATGCACTTTTCTTGGTAACAGTATAGAGGTGGTTTGCCTGTACATTTAGTTATCCTTTGCAGGAATAAATGTGTGAACTGGCATTTGGACTTGACCCACTGACTCATAGTCTCTGAGTCTTATCAGTTTCTCTCTCAAAAGCTGTTGAAGCAGAAAAATGAGGGTTCCAAAGAATGGTTTTAAATGTTGGATTTCAGTTCTCACCTTGTAGTTAGGTTCTTTAGTAAGTTTGATTCTTCTACCATTATCAATTTTCCATCTTGTAGATGAGAGCTGTGTGAACGGCCATGCCATTAAGGCAGTCATTTTGAAATCTCTGCCTAACACAATTCAGTGGTTCTTCCAAAATTTCAACTGACCTGCCAAATTGTAGGACTCTTGATATATTGTAATCTATAAATTTAGACATGTTACAAAGCAAACAGCTTAATAGTGATTGTGTATGCAATCAAAAGAGTCTGGTAGCTTATCTTCAGTACAGTGAAAAAGGAATATTATATGCTCTTCATGTCTGAAGTCAATATTTTGCTGTCAGTCAGTTTGAAATCCAAGGTGGAAAATCTGAAAATAATAATAAATGGCTCCCTTTAACTGATGATTCAGGCAGTGGATACAAATGTATTTGTCATTCCTGAAATTTTGATGTCTTTTTTCTCCCAGAAAAGTGCTGATAAAAAATAATAGATTTGAGTTCCTTGAAATAAACCCCTGTTTGGTTTCTGACTGTTGACCAGATTATTTAGAATTATTGACTCTTTAATTAATGTAATTTAGTTGTAATATGAGGGAAATAAACCATTGATCTTTTCTTTTCTTTTCTTTTCTTTTCTTTTCTTTTCTTTTCTTTCTAGGCTCCTTCATGATGGTGAATAGTTCTGGGAGGGCATCTGGACAAAAAGCCCACTTGCTTTTACCAACACTGAAGGAAAATGACACCCACTGCATTGATTTCCATTACTACCTGTCCAGCCGAGACCGTTCCAGCCCTGGATCCTTGAATGTTTATGTGAAAGTGAATGGTGGACCTCAAGGCAACCCTATCTGGAACGTCTCTGGGCTTGTTACAGAAGGTTGGGTGAAAGCAGAGCTTGCTATCAGTACTTTCTGGCCACACTTTTATCAGGTACATTTGAGATTTCTCTTCTTATATCATAGTGGTAGGCAACCTGCAGCCTGTGGGCCACTATAGCTTTTTGAAGTTCCTTGTGCTCATGAGATGAGCAAATTGCTCATTTTCTACAGCTTGGTTTTTAATTTTTTTAATTTTGCAATTAGGGGTGAGGAAGGGGTAAAATATTTTCTGTTAAATGAACCTCATCCTCCAGCACTAAACAAATAAATATTTTAGCCACATCTTCTTTGGTGACATTTCTGCATCACAACCTTGCTCCTTGAGGGCCTTGGAGGAGGAGGAAAAGGGTATTATTATTATTATTATTATTATTATTATTATTAATAATAAGAGGAGGAGGAGGAAGATCATCATCATCATCATCATCATCATCATCATCATCA